TATATATATATATATATATATATATATATATATGTAAGAGAAAGAATAAAGTGCTTTATTTATTTATTATATGTTGCATTTGTTTAGGACGCTGTCCAAATCGTGACCTAAATGCTTCTTTGTCTGCCCGCAAGTTCCGCTGCCACTTTCCCCGCGTTTCTCTCCGACCGACCAGCCCAGTCCAGCCCAGCCCAAATTAGGGGTATTTCAGTAAATAAAGTACCCGTTTTTTTTAATAGAATCATCAACCACTATTCAGTCGAAACGTGTCCGACGACCTAAAAATCGGTTGGTTTAAGGTTTGCCGCTACGTTCCTCGATAAAAAGTTAATGAAATTAATTAATTATATTTAACCCTAATCACTTAATTAATACCACAATATTATTACCGTACATCCTTAATCCCACTTCGTACTGCCCTTTCTGGTAAAGTTCGAGCACTGTAGAAGCTAATTAATCCTGCTGTAGCTCTACTATGTACGTGAAGGGAACTTCGTGGAACAGATAAAGCGAACAGGGAAGGAGGAGAGAGATAGAGAGAGAGGAGGCGGAAGATGGGGAGAGGGAGAGTGGAGTTGAAGAGGATTGAGAACAAGATAAACAGGCAGGTGACTTTTTCGAAGAGGAGGAACGGTTTGTTGAAGAAGGCTTATGAGCTATCAGTGCTCTGCGATGCTGAGGTTGCGCTCATCGTCTTCTCCAACCGCGGCCGACTCTTTGAGTTCTGCAGCAGTACTAGGTATTGACCATTTATTCATTTGCTAGCTGATCGTGTTTCAGATTATCGTGGATTTGATTGTTTACGGTTTTGATTGATTGATTCAGTTTTTGAAACCTAGAAACTGATTTGTGCTGGGAGATTGCTCGATCATTCTGTTTAGCTACAGTTTTATTTGTTCTTCGTTTGGAATGATGATTTCGCTGACACAGTCACACAGGGGTTGTGTTGCAGTGTCTAGGTATTCGTTGTGGAGACTGGTTACTTGCTTTTTTGTGTGTTTTGACAGATTTGGAAGGGTAGGGGTCGACGATAATGGGGTTCTTTTAGATTTTAGTTTTTTTTGGTGGAACATTTGGTATTTGTTTATGTAGGTGAAATGTCTAAGGACTTTCTACCCTTGCTATGCTTGATTGAGTAATGCTTTAATTGCCCAGAAATTCAACAAAGACCACAAAAGGGTTCAGGGTCCACCAAAATACGTGATTTTTATTTTTTTTTGTGATCTGATGATTTTGGCTGGATAAAATTTTGGCTGGATAAATATTTTCTCATCTTGGTTTTAGCGAGGTCATTCTGGGATTGGGGGACAGAGAGGTAAATGAGCAGTTAGTTCTAAATGTTTTTTTGGGACAATAAATTAAGACAAATTTATAAACATCACATACGCACCAGCTGCGGAGTTAGTTCTAAGCTAGATTGTTTTAATATCCATCTCTAGGGATTGGTAAGTAAAAGGAGTTTCTTCTCTTGAGAAATTTTTTTTTTTTTTTATCGCTAAATTGCTAGCAGAAGTAAATAAATAATTTTTTTTCTTTTAGCTACTGTATGAATCATAGAAGCTTTGGGTGCTCTACATAGAGGTACTGGCAATAGAATGTCTTTCAGGAGTGTCCTGAGTTCAAAGAAGCTATAGGAATTCTGTAAAGAAACGAGCTTTGGCCAAAAACATAGGATGATGAGCTTAAAATTTGTTTAAAAACATAGGATGATGAGCTTTGGCCAAAAACATAAATGTTTAAAATTTGAATATGTTTGGCTTTTCTTAAAATGAAATTAATGTAGTATTGATTTTTTGCTTTTGTTTAACTATCATTTAGTTTTAAATATTTGTTTTATCTTATTATTGTCATATGAATTATTAAAGGATGCACTTACATAAACGAAGTTTTTTATGTAATTCTATTTTTAATATATAAATTTTATATTATATATATATACACACACAAACACACTTTAAATAAATTAATATTGATTATTTTTGTTGATGTGATTTAAATATTTTAATGGGTTTTTGTATTCAAGACATTGATGTGACAATGCGTTGTTTTAATAGGTAAATAAAAATTACATAATAACCCATATCCGATAAAATATCCCTAGACAATAAAAAAAAAGTAAAGAAGGTAAGAGAATGTGATGGATTACGGACTTGCAGTAAATTTGAGATACATTTTATTTTTTTCTAAAATAATTTTTTAGTTAAAAAATTCTTTAAAATAAAAAATTTCTACTAAAAAAATTATCCCAAATGAAGTTTAGCGACTATTCATCAGCTTTCACATCAAAGTAATGGGTGGCCTACTTTTTTTTTTTTCTGGAAACGGGTACCCACGAGCTACCACCCCCAAAAGGGCGCTTGGCGGCATGACTAATCCTTAGCTGACCTAGAAGAAGCACCCACCCCAAAAACCTCCTGGCCCACACTTGATTGGGACATACTTAAGAGGCGTTGTCACTCGAGAGAATCGAGCACGGATTGGGAAGTTCCCAACTGTACTCGCACATCGACCAAACTAAGCAACGGTGGATGACCTATCTCTCACTGCAGTGGAAAAACCTTTCAACATCACCCAAGCAGTACCAGTATGTATAATTGTAATATTATTCATCGTCTCCAAATATGATAAACAGTGAGTTCTATAGCCATCTTAGTGAGCAACGTCTGAATTTAATGACATCAGTGAAGAAGAAAATGAGGAGATAGAAAGAATTTATTATATTTTATTTCATTTCCAAAGAGTTTAAGCTGCCTATAGCAATTGATTGGGGACCTTTGTTGGCTCACTTATTGATCCTCTGTTTATAGGATGCATGGTAACAATGATTTAGAGAAGCCTACACAAATAAGATAATTGTATAGGTCTCAATAAGTAATTTGTTAAAATTTTCTAAGGTGAGCTCAAATATAAATATTAATTATATATTAAACTCTATTGATCTCAATATAAGCCTACTCAAATGTTGATTTATTTGAGAATTAATATTTATTGGTCTTATGAGACGTACCTTTTTTTTGTTAACCCACGGAGGGACTTACACAATAATATAAAATAAAAATTACAAGGTCCTTAGGGGGACCTTCAACTTATTAATACTTGAAAGAGCTACAAAAAGAAAGAAAGAAAATCTATGAGCCAAAAGTCCCCTACTACTCAAAAAAATAAAATTGCCTAGATACAATCTAGGGCGACAAGGAGCCATTGCCCAAAAAAGAAAGATAAAAAAGTAGTCAATCAACGTAATCTTTTTGCAAAAAAACTCAACCCCGCCATCATAATCCTCCAATCTCCAAACCCGCTCAAGGAAAAATCTCCAACACAAGAAGGTAATGCAGCCAATAGAATGACAGTAAAAAAGAGATTTGAATAAAACTAAAATATTATAATTGACATAGCTAGATAAACTATGAGACCTATCCTTAATTTTGTATAGGTTTTATCATGTATGAAGATGGGAGATTTTTATTTTATTTTACTTTTATGATAGATAAAAATAAAATGAAGGCGAGGCTGCAGTTTTGCGGCTTAGGTAAAATTCTTGTAGTCAAATTTGGGCTGCAATTCTTGATTAAAGATTTTTTTTTAAAGAAAAACGAAATTCATTAGATAAAAAAACATTACACCACAGAGCCAAAACAAAAAAAAAGTGGCCACAAAGAGCAAAAATACAACTAGAGGAATACAATAATTGTGAGGGCCAAATAGTCTGAACGCAACAAAGTACTCAGACTGACTCAGACTGCTACCTGGTTGTCAGGATTGGGCCATCCAAGGAGGAAGAAAAGGTAATTGCCGAAATATGAAATCTACCAAAATGGATAGTGAAAACATCCGCCTAGGTTGCCAACATAGCCATGACCATCCAAGGCGCATGCAGGAAACCTGCTTCATCATTGTCCTGATCTGATTCCTGTGCAACAACTTAATCCAAACTCAAAAATAACCAATAAAGCCATAACCAAGCAAATACCAAAAAGAAGAATCATTTCTTTTTGGGCTTACATTTTTTATGATTAACACTCTTTTTGAAAAAACCAGCATATGCAATTTGAAGAATACTTAGGTCAAAGTTATCTCGAGCATCCAATTCTAACTCATCAGTCTCCTCCCCTCTAGTTGAAGAAATTCCATAATTTAACCAATAACATTGCCCCACTACATTATCCATAACAATGTGAGCTAACATCCCAACACTAGAAACAACATATAAAGGCACATCAACTAAAGGCCCCCCAACTCCAATATCCTCCCCAGAACTCACATCATTCGAATTACTCAGTTCATCCGAAACTCGAGCACCCCCTAAAGCATGAGTAGAACATGAAATCCCATGCGCATGTGAGTCACAATCATGGTCCCTATAATCATTAGAAAGTGCATTTTCACCCTCGTTAACATCAACATTAGGATCAGGAGTTTCGCTAGGAAAAGCTACCAAATTAATTAAGCAATTGTTAGGTTCACAAACCTCAACAACATTCCACCTTCGAATGGCCTAAAGAACTGCAATGCACACAATAAGTAGGGAAGTCTTCCAAAAACATAGACTTCACGTAACCTACGTTATCTGAGCAAACCCAAATTTTATTAGAAAAATATTTGGTAACATCAAGTTCTACCAGAATGCGAGCAACGGACGACTGCGAGCCAGAGGAAGTTGGGTTATCGATCTTTATGGGTTTACCAAAGAAGGATCCAAGGCCATGGAGAATATGCAGAGCGAAAAGGTGATGCCATAGATTAGGAAACGAAATCCAAATAGGGATGATAGAAGATTCAACCTCAATATCCAAGAAAGAAGACCATTTAACCAATTTCATGTAGCAGTTACTCACGAAATAGGACCGATGAGCAAAAATCCTACAATAATCCACATCGTTAAAGAGCTTAATCAAAACATTCGGTTGATTTAGGACAGTGACTAAGCATTCACCATTCAATTTAAGATTGAAGAAAAAAGTTCCTAATAGCATTAAGAGATGGCCTACGGCTTGGGAACTTGCCCACAAGGGCAAATTCAAGGGGAGTAGCAAGAGATAGGATTTCCGCTTCCGAAAGCCACAAAGCCTGCAAACCATAGTGAGATGAAACTTTAAGATTTGGAAAGTGAACAAAAGTAGAAGACACACCAGATAACACATCCTTAAAGGAAAGAGAAGCAGACCCATTCAAAAAATTGGGATCCTTAAAACGGAGAGGCGCCATAAAACCAAAAAGGAAAATAACTAACAACATAGAAAAAAAAAAACTAGGGAAGGAAGAAAACTTCCCTGGAGCAGATGACGGCTAGGGCCCAACCTAGCAGAGTGGCACGAAAAAACATTTCACCCTTGTCTACAAGAGCACAACATTGCTTGCATAATTAGAAATGGTACATCTTTCCTAGATCTTTTAAGGTTGTGCATTAGCATGTATAGGTTTATGATCATGTCGATTCAAATGTTCGACATTAACAAGTTCACTAAAGAAATTGTTTTCAACCTATGGCAAATCAACATGAAGGCATTACTGGTGCATTAAGGAATTACATATGCCATTTCAGCAAAAGAGTTGGTTGCAATCACTGATAGAGTCAAAGATATGGAAATACAATTGAAAGGGCACAGTGCAATCTTGCTTTCTTTGGGTGATGAAGTTTTGAGAGAAGCTGCATCAGAAGAGTCAGCATTATAGGTATGACAAAAGTTGGAGTTTTTGTTCTTGAAGAGATCCCTAACAAATCGGTTGTTATTGGAAAAG